AATACAAAACATCATGACGACTGCCGCTACTGGTACTGCTACTGCTACCACTATCATTACCATTACCACCACCACCACCACCACGACTACTACTACTACTACTACTACTACTCCTCCTGCTGCGGCTACTACTACTACTACTACTACTACAACTTTCACTACTACTACTACTACTACTACTACTACTACTTTTACTACTACTTTTGCTACTACTTTTACTACAATTACTACAATTACTACTACTACTACTACTAGTAGTAGTAGTACTACTACTACTACTAGTACTAGTACTAGTACTACTACTACTACGACTACTGCTACTACTACTACTACTACTTCTACTGCTACTGCTACTACTGCTGCTACTACTACTACTACTACTACTACTAGTAGTGCTACTACTACTAGTACTACTACTAGTACTAGTACTAGTACCAGTACTAGTACTACTAGCAGTTCTCCTAGTAGAAAGAGTTTTGGTGTCTGAGCTGAGATGTGGTCTGAGCTGAGATGTTATCGCGTCCGTCAAAACCTGTGCCCGGCACATTGCGGCTTCAGTCGGTTTGCCTAGTGATTTTTGTCCGTCCGACCCTGGCCAACAGCCTCTGCACTGAATCCTGAACCTGAACCAACCAGTGCTGTAGCAACATGCTACTCCAATGCCATAAATTAAAATCATGATGTCGTGATGTGCGGCAGCATGAAAGTTCAATTCCTGCAGTGGTCCACGGTGGCATCATCGGCCATGGCCGGAGTCGCCTCTTCGTCCAACCAGACCTTTCAATCTGCGGCGACCTCGGACCGTCGGAAGTCGTCGCCGAAGTTCCGAAGCTTCCATCGTCCAATTTGCCCTTCCATGGCTTCCCAGGAGGCGGCTGCCCAGTCGGAGAAGACCTGCGACAAGTCGCAGTCCTGGCCCCTGGGTCGGATCTGCGAAGTTCAGCCTTGAGTCGGCGTCGCTTTGCAGTTTTTGTTTCAACATGTCCTGGGATATTGAGTTTTCCTGACACAGGGACTACACTACTACACTGTTCCAATCCCAAACCCTAAATCCTTAAGTGCCTTAAAACCGTACACCCGACTCAAACCTAAACCCTAAACAAACACGCAAAGCCCGAACCCTGAACCACAAACCGTGCCATGATGCAACCTTTAAAGTCCAAGTGCCCTGATCCTGCTGAGGGCGCAGATCATTGACTGGAAGTCGGGACGTTCCGTGCTGGCAGGCGCCTCCTTCAGAATGAAACTGCAATAACTGTCCGGACGGACATTACTCATCCAGTGCTGACCTGCAGGACAAGAGGACCTGCCTTTGCGGAACGCTCTTCCCTCAGACTGCTGCAGTTCATGGGAGTCAAAGTGCTTGACTCCCATACACGCCTGTGCTGTGCAGGTTTGCTTGGAGCACTGGCAGCAGGCGCGGTCCTCCTGCGCTTGAAATTCTGAAAGAGCATGCATCCTCCTTCTCCTTGGACAGGGATGGCCGCACGTCCAGCTGCAGGATGCGCCTGGATCCGGATGCTTCATCTGCGACAGGCCTGGCCGTAGCTGTTGGTCGCACCTTCTTGATCTTAACAGACACAGCCTTGGCACAGTCGCCCGCCTTTCCAGCCCGGCAGCGAGCGCCTCAACCGAGCAAAACACATGATTCATTGGAAAGCATTCCGTCCTTCCCAGGAAAAAAGCCGAAGCGCCCGGTTTCCGGGATCAGGAAGGACATCCCGGCGTTTTGCTCAGTGATTCGAACCGAGCCAAAGACATGATTCATTCGAATGACTGCATGCCGTTCCTGCAGGTCTGCGCCAAGCACGCAGCCCATGGCAGAGAAGTCGTCCACCTTCCCGGCCCGGAATGCACGATCTGCTCCAGGCCCTAAACCCTTTAAACCCGAAACCCTACACCCTGAACCTGCAGCAGGTCCTACTCGGACAGGGCGCTACCTTCGCATCCAAAGGCCAGCCCGTATATCGCGACTGTGCAAAAGTGGATTTGGGATTAGAGTAACCTTGACACTCTGACAGGTGCATACCGAGTCGTCCCCCAACAAGATGGGAACATGGTGGAAGGCCTCGGACGGGCCTGTGTCTCCTTTGAGTCCTCAACCCGCGATCTGGCACGGCAGGTTAGTCGTTGGCTAGGCGAGCCGTTAGTTGCCTGCAGCTCTGGGTCGCAGACCGTAAATTCAAGTATCATGGCCTGAAATCCCGCGCACACTGTAACTCTGCTCGCAAAAGACTACACAGACTACACCCTGCCCGTGCCTGAATTCCTGACCTACGCTCGCGATCTGGCAGAGGCTCAGCTGAGCACTGCTGCCGCCTCCGCGGCCAGAGTCGAGGAGCAGCTGGACATGATGGACTGAGGCAGATTAGTCCTTAGCTAGGTGAGTCGTTAGTTGCCTGCAGCTCTGGAGCGCAAACCGTAAATTCAAACAGCGTGGCCTCAAATCCCGCGGACACAATCAACCTGTGCCCGCAAAACACTACACCCTGCCCGTGCCTCAACTCATGAGAAAACGGCAGATCCAGAGCTCTGTATGGCCTTAGCTCGTAGTCGTTTACCGACTCGTAGTCCTTTCGGGTAATTCTGGTAGCCACGGCACCGGCAAAAAACAGTCCTGGGCGCAAGCTGGCCTGACTCACATTTCGTCCGCAAGGACGCGACTCTTAGAGTCGATTGCCTGACTCACATTTCGTCCGCAAGGACGCGACTATTAGAGTCGATTGCATGACTGACATTTCGTCCGCAAGGACGCGACTATTAGAGTCGATTGCATGACTGACATTTCGTCCGCAAGGATGCGACGCTTTGAGTCGATTGTCCCCGTCCGAAAGGACGTCGTCCGAAAGGACACGACCTCCCATGGTCGTCCCGGCCCCCTTTGCCAACCAAAAACAACACGGCCGCACGGCAAAACCCCAAACCCAAAACCTTCAAGCCTGCCCCTACCCTACATGAACTAAGCCCAAATCGTAAGCCCAAAACACTAAACCTTAGTCGAAGGAGTCCATGCGAAAGCAAAAAGTCGGAACAGTCGAATGAATCCTAAGTTCATCAGTCAAGAATTGTTACTGCTATTAACTTAACTTAACTACTAGTACTGCTACGTCTGCTACAGATTACTACTACTACTACTACTAC